GACCTATCCCATTTCAAAGACTTATATGAACTGTAAATCTAAGGAAATTTTAGGAGTGCTGAAAAGTAAATTACAATCTGCAACAACCATTAATTCTGAGTCCGGTTATCTCTAAACCATACCATACTTTACAAATAGCTAGAATATGAAATCAACATGCCTCAGAATGTATGGGATAGTGAATCATTTTTATTTGTCTGTAGCACCTCGAATTTTCACATCTGGATGATGCTTAAAAAAGCCTCCTAACTTTTTCCATGATGTTCTGATTCTATACTCTAAATGTCATAACGTTTTCTCATTTGGATAACTGTGATCTCTTCTTTCCTGCTGCTGATTTCCCTACAGTCTTCTGCCATCTCATTCCACTTTTTTTCTTTCCTTCTCTGTTCTGAGACCTTTGTAAGTATATCTGCATAGCTGCATAGCTGCATTAAGGTGAGAGAACCCTAATAGTTCTTTTAAAGCCTGAATTATTGTTTTCTCTCAATCAGAACTCTTCTGGTGCAATGCATTTTTACTGGTTTTGTTTTATTCTGTAGATAGGAAAAGGAAAGTACACAAGATGGATGCAGTTGGTCAATGGCTATTTGTAGGAGATTGCTCTCATTGGGAGTGGTATGCAATAATAAACAGAACCAGCTGCTATTTTGCTGCATAATTTATTACAGCATATATAATCTACACGTAAAGGAATATATATTCCATTTTGTGTTTACATCAGAAACAGATCTCATTGCACATCATTTTTTTTTTTCCTTTTGTAATTTTCAGAAAAATGTGGTAAACTAAGCCACGTAACTGAGGAATGAATTAATTTTCAAGATGCTGTCTTTACAGTACATAGATAAAATGAAGACCTGATCTACAAAACTTCTAATCTAGTTGAAAGAGTGTGTGTTCAGTTGGTGAATCAAGCTTACACTGGTGTATCTCCTGATTTCCAAAGTCATTTTATTATCTGGTACATGAGATAAAATACAGATGTTTTATGCTACAAACACAAGCTCAATTTCTCTCTCTCTCTTTTTTTATTTTCTCCCTTCTTGGCTGACCCTGTCTTTTTGAAAGCCAGGATACCAGACAAGGACTGTTTCATTATTTCAGATCTTTATACGACTTCTTAAAGATTTCTAATATGATTTGGACTGTTTGCCCAGCAAAATATGCCCTCAAAATAAATATCATTTTAGAAAACTGTTTTTTATAGCATGTTTTGGGTTTTGGAGTTTGCACTCATAAATATTCATAAGACTGGCCTATTATTTATCCTTGCTTAAAAAAAATATATAAGTGAAAGCTTACAAGTTGTGGTTGAGGGAAAAGAGTATTTCACATTCACAAAGATTTTAATTCTTTCTTAGATGGACCAGTCTCTCAGTTGGCAAACTGTGCTGGTTTCACTGTGGCAGGCTGTGACATGCTGCCCTTCAGTTTATGTTAGCCTAAGAGCCAAATAAAGCAGTAGTCTTTGTTTCCAGAACCTCATTTTGTCCCATGTGGTAGGTCAACACAGTCACTAAAACCACAGTGAAGCCCACTGAATCCATGTGGCTGGATGAGCCAAAGGAAAATGGATTCATTCTTTGTAAATACAGTTCAAGGTCTAATACCTCAACTTTCTCTTGTAACATTTCTGAAGAAAAAGAGTAAATAGAAGACTAACATGGTAAAAACTGACATAAACTACTGGATTTGGAAATTTTGGCTGTCTTCCTAGTTGCGTTGTCTTCCTGTGTTGTCTGGAGCAGGGTATGTGCAAAGGATGAGCGTGGTGCAATTTCATCCTTGCTCCCATGACAGGGGCGAGGTTGTTTATTTCATACTTGTCCCCCCACGCCCAGGTCAGTCCCATACAGTGTGAGGACTAATAATCGTCTGGCCTACATTATTTAATTAGATCAGCTCATTGGGCCACTAAAGCTCAGAGGTAGCTCTGCCATGGTGCTGTGCCGGAGTAAATGTGTTGAGGACTCTGAGCATCCAGTGGAAAAAGCACATTTTGATAAACAAGCAGAGAGAGCCAAAATCCAACTCACAGCTTCAGATTTGCCCACACTGGACTGGTGAACAAATATGGAATTACTGTAATATCCTCTGAAGAACCCATACTGCATGACAAGTTCCCCTTTGAAAGTGAATTTGACAATGGATGGGATGGAAGAACCCAATATTTTACCGAGATGAAATCACCCTGGAAACAATCAAAGTATCTGTAAAAAATCCTAAAGAACAAAAATGTAAATTGTGCTAAAGTGTTTGGAGATCTATCCAGGGGAAGTAGTGGAAAACTTTGGAAGCTGCCATGAACTGGCAACCATGTGAAAACAAACAAACAAACAAACAAACAAACAAACAAACAAACAAACAAACACTTAGTTCCCATAATCTCCTTTCAAATACCTACTGGAAAAGAAGAGGCCCTACAGAAATGTTTAAGATCTGGAGATGGCCTGTTACTCCTGTCAGTCCAGAGAAGAGTAGGTAGATTTTAATTTTGCTCATTCTTGTGCTTTATATGCTACAGAACATTATTGAACACTGCAGTGAAAGAAAGTGGCTGCTTCATCTACATTTTATTGGTTTTTAGAAATCTTATGACAATTTAAAAAGTCATTGTAACAGATAGTGAAACTGTTTTTATTTTTGTATTTGTTTTGTTTCTCTATGCTTTATTTTCTTTTTTAAAATTATCCCTCAATTTGAACTGTCCTTTAGATGTGAATTGTGCTGCAATTTCTAACTAGCAACAACTCTGTTGGTGTGTGGTATTTCTAGATTTAAATAAAGGTATTTCATTCTTGCCTGATTCCTTCATTCACTGAGTGTGGAGCAAGAGTTTCAAATATAAATGACACAGCTGGAAATCTAGATTCAGCTGGTATCTTCTTGAATGCATCAGCAAAAGAAATGAATGATATAAAAAAATTCAACTATTCATATTTTATTGCTAATTAGCAAATGAAAATATTTTTTTTCAAGAGCCAGATAATCCAACAGCATCTGAGCAAGAAAATTCCTAGATTGTTGGTAATGTAATTATCCAGAGTGTAACTTCAATAAAGATATGGACAAATCATTAACATTTCTACTTGAAAAGTACTACTATTTGGAAAAATGTTCCAATGGGAAAAGGCTCACAATATCACCAAGTTCATTGTCACTTTCTCAGAGCTATGCACTGCAGCTGCTGCCACATCCCAGCAAGTCTATTTGAGAAGGGGAAGAACCTCCAGTCAGGTTTCATGGTCTCCTGTTGCACTGAACAGCAGGAACTGTTTGGCTTTAGAGCACTTGCCAATGTTTAAGCCAATACAGCTCAGGGAGAGATGTGTCTTGAGCAAATGTCTCTAAGGAAGAAAGGAGAAACAGAAGGCAAGGTGGAGAGAAACAGTTTCCACAGCACGGTAAGGCTGGTGTGTAAAGACCTACATCAGCTGCCTGCTCAAAAGAAAAAGGTTAGCATTTGACAGTAGAAGTAGATAAACAATAGACAGACCAATCTACAGACACGTTCTTTTCCAGCACAGAGTGGGAAAATTGGGAAAATACACATCTGGATGAAATACAATGAAATGCATGGAGACCAGCTTTCTGCTATTATCTCTCCTTTATAGTTCTTTCTGACGTTTTTCTAATGTGAAGAAACTTTGTTTTTGATACAACATTTCTTCCTAAATAGGTAATGACTAGAAATGGTCAATATTTTTTCTGAAAATATTTTTGCTATATTTTAATTCTTAATGAAAGGAGACTCATTCTTTGAAGTATTTGAGCAAATAAAGACATAGAAATCAGAAGAAAAGTTGTGCTTGATAGGAAAAGAACTTGAAGGGACCATAAGTAACTTAGTCTCACACTCTCCTCAGTAACCACTCCTGTTAGATGTCTTTTATGCATTATCAAAGACTTCTAGTGATGCAAATTACAAATTGTTCTCAAAGAGTCTATTAGTCCATTATTCCATTTGAAAGTCTCTTTTTTCCCCATGTCAAATCTCATACTTTTTTTCTGCATTTTAAGTTTGTTTGACTGCACATAAAGAGACCTGATGTGCTCCATTCTTTGTGATTGTGTTTCTCTTGTGACTTTCTCATTCAGTCCCAAGACCCTAATTTGTCACAGTCTTTAATTGTTAATATTTTCTTCTCTGTATATTTCTGAATATCTTCACCGTTTCCTGTCTAACTAACCCACTTCTTTATACACTGCACCCCAAACTGAATCTGTTATTCCAGGTGATGCCTTATAACTTTAAGAAGATTGAAAAGATTATATTAGTCACTCTTTATTTACAGTGACCAGCTATGCAGATATTGAAACTCCAAAGGAAATCCTACTCTTGTTGGAGGGCATGATGTGCGTACTGTTTAAAAGCACCAATTGCAAGCCTTGCTGTCTAGATTCATTGTACTCACAAGTCAGTATAGCTTTACATTCTGTGTTCACTCCTTTGGACAACAGTGCATGTGTAATGTGGAGTGCATTTCCTCTTGATTGGGATAGGAGGAGAAAGAAGAAAAGTTGCTGTTAAGTAGATCACAATCACACATTTGGTTCTTTTTGGTTTCCTCCAACTTATATTCACCAATCTGTAGGGAATCAATAGCCAAAGTTCTGGTCTCAAATATAGCCTGTAGGGCTCCCAAGGACTCCTCGATCATCAACCTTTCTCTTTTTCATCTTTTTTGATGGCGGGGGGGTGAGAAAAAATAAAAAATTAAACCTTCATATATTTAGATAAAATAATACTCAGTATTTCAGATAAGGCCAGCTAAGGCATATTAAAACATCATGCTATTTACAATGAGATGGTTTCTGTTCGTGATGAAAGCAATGTTTTTAGTCATTTTTAAAATTTCTTTATATTTTTTAAAATGATAATATGTTGAACTGAAGTGTAGTTTTACTCAGATTGCATGATACTGATGTTCTCTTTTTAAAGCTCTTAATAATTTCAAAGAAAAAAAAAAGGGGGGGGGGGGTCTGTTGCAACTTACCACTCCAGAATTTCCCACTGGGTGGATAATTTCTTGGATTCAGACACCGTCCCTGAGAAAGCTGGAAATCTTTTGGGCATCCAGTGCAATTCTCATAGCTGTACCCAACACATGTTGTGCAGCTCCTGTGACAAGGTTCACATTCTCTAGACATGTCATCAGTGAAGAAGCCATCTCCACACTCAGTCACGCATGTGTCACCTGCAACAGAAACAGAGCCCAGAATCGGGTTGTCAACTGACCCCTACAATCAGGACAAGAAGATACCTCACCCAGAGCACATATCTGTCTCTAGCAATAAACAGATCAAGACAAACAGGCAATATATATTGAAATAGTGAACATTTTGGTAGATATAGAAACTAAATTTTTTTGGTGAATCCTCAGCTCAGTTCAGCTGCTTCTACAAAAATTGAGGAACTTTGAGCAACCTGCACTGAAATCAATATCCAGGTGGGTTTTCATCAATATCTTAAATTCTGTATATACACATCTAATACAAATCTTACTGTGAATCAAAGTTCTGTGATTAAATCCATTTTTTTTTTTCTATTGATTCTCTATAAAATCTAAGTGTAGAATTCCCTAAAATTTCTTGTTGTACACATATTTTGAGGATTAGATGAATCTCCAGTTTCTGGTGAATACAAAGCTAAACTCAGGTGAGTCTGATTCAGCTTAGGGGTTTGCATGCTTTGGCAAAGTTCTTCGAAGTTGTTGCAAGGGTAATTTTTCAGTTAAAAGAAAAATAGGCCATTATACCACTTCACGTTGTGACCACAGTGTCCTGTAAATGCATTTTTTAGCTCACTTTTGGGCATGCGCAGAAGACAATGCACGAAAACACCATAACCTCAATATTTCCTGCCTTTCATATTTGGCACCATGTCTGAGCTAGGCCTGACTGATTCATATTTTCCTAATAAAATCATCAGATTCAGAGTCTTATGTGAATTTGATGTGAAACTTTCTAGTTGAACAGAAGTCCTTTGAGAGTGTTTAAGACTCATTACTTTAAGTGGACTTTAAAGTCCACAGTAAGGAAATGTTTCTATGTATGTCTTTCTGTGAAAGAAAAACCTCTCCTTTCACACAGTCTGAATTAAACAGATTGGAGTTGAAATGTGTATATATATACATATACATTATATATATATATGTTTTATACATATTTTTTTATCTCCTTTAAAAAAAAATATATATATATTTATATTTATTTATATATATATATATATATATATTTTTTTTTTTTTAAGAAGAGAAAAAATCCCCCCCCAGCAATGGTTATTTGTTGTCAAATATTTGGAGTTGTATCTGTTGTATCTTATATATATATTTACACATCCCTGGCCTCTACTCTGAGCCATAGGAGAGATCTTTTTGAACTCAAGAAGTTGAATCCAAGCTCTTTCACTAAGGAAAACCTCTGATATGCTTTCATGTATATACCATATATTATTTTGCTTACCTGAGAGATAAAAGCCTTCCTTACAAAAGTCACACTTGTCCTTGTCACAGCTATCACAGTTGCTAGGACATTCTTTACATTGCAGGGAAGTTTCATCACTGTAGGTATTGTCTGGACAGTGTTTATAGCAACTCTGTTTATACCTATAACATAAAGTAAAATTTGAGGTTATTGAGTTTCCTCATGTTCTATGTACAGTAATGGCAAGGCTCTATTATCATTCTCATAAACAAAAAATGTTCCTCTAATGAAGGATTCAGAATGTGTTTGTTGTTATCTCTTCAGCTTTAACAAGTAATTAGCATTTTTAAGTACAAATAATTCGATTTTTAAAAAATGTTTACACAAAAAAATGCATGCATACTTAGAAATTGCATATTTCATGACTACTAAGAATCATAGAATCTTAGAATCATAGAATGGCCTGGGTTGAAAAGAACTACAATGATCATCTAGTTTCAAGCCCCCGATACACGCAGGGTTACCAACCACCAGACCAGGCTGCCCAGAGCCACCGCCAGCCTGGCCTTGAATGCCTCCAGGGATGGGGCATCCACAACCTCCTTGGGCAACCTGGAGGTCTCACTGTGTCACCACCCTCTGTGTGAAAAACTTCCTCCTAATATCTAACCTAAACCTCCCATGTCTCAGTTTAAAACCATTCCTCCCTGTGCTATCACTATCCATCCTCGTAAACAGCCATTCCCCCTCCTGCTCATATGCTCCCTTCAAATACTGGAAGGTCACAATGATGTCTCCCCTGAGCTTTCTCTTCTCCAAGATAAACAAGCCCAGTTCTCTCAACCTTTCCTCACAGGAGAAGTGCTCCAGTCCCCTGATCATCTTAGTGGCCCTCCTCTGGACCTGCTCCAAGAGCTCCATGTCCTTCCTCTACTGGGGGCCACAGACCTGGATGCAGTACTCCAGATGGGGCCTCACAAGAGCTGATTAGAGAGGGGATAATCACCTCTCTCTCCCAAAACCAGTGCTTACAGTGATATTAGATAGCTTTGTCATAGTAGCTTAGATAGCTTTTTCATTTTTTGTCATAGTAATAGTTACAGAGATCTCCTAAACTTCTTTTTCAAAAACTGCTGAATACTTATTTCCCTTCAGTTAAAGTTTCAGTTTCACTACTTTCTGTTTCCTTGCTTAACATTTTTACACTGCTGATCTGCAAATACAAAAACTGGACATAACACACTAAGTGTGTACTCGTTCCACACCCAGAAAAAGTAATTAACTTGTCTACACTTCCTATTCATCTCTCTTCATATATACAAAGATCACATCAATACATGAGCTATAGAGCTGCAAGTGGTCTTGATTGTGTATGATTGGCTAGTTTTTCAGCATTTCTCAACCTTTTTTCTCAGGCAATATTTGATAGGAGTGGGACAAGATACATGTCATTTATGTACCGATTTATGTGATATATGTAGTTAGACACATCTTTTTGCATGGAAAGCTATACTCACATGTAGTAGTTCGGAACACATGTCATACAGATTCTTGGGTCATCTGAAATAAAAAATGTGAAATTATGTAAATAACATCCAGAGTCAGTGCCAGAATGCCAAAGGAAAACATTGCGTTATTTTGTATTAAGATTTCTTACATTGAAATAACAGTCATATCTTCTTATATCTAGAACATTATTCTCTCAGGATCCCTGCTTACATGTTTTAGAGATATTTTCTTCCATAATTAATTCTTTGACTGTGTTTTTTTCCAACGATTGGTAATGTTTTTGTTCTCAGCACGAAGTACTTAGAAAGTGATAAATAATTGGGAAGTGATTTTCTGAAATGGAGAACCTTTTCAGGAGCTCAAGCTGGGCAAAATGAATCTTAAAAGGAGAAACTGAAGTATTCAAATCTGTAGTTTCAATATTTTTTATCTGTTTATTGGCACCTCTAAAAGCAAACTTTCCTGAAAAAAAAGTAGGTAATTATTTAATCTTGAAAAATCTGAGCTAGAAAAACACTTTTCTTTATTCTGTGGAGACAAGAATTTTGGGTGAACATTCTCATTATTAATTTTTGCCTTCAGAAATTTTCTTAAATGAACAAAACTTACTATAAAACTCTTTAAATCTTTTACGATGAATGCTATAGCTTTGTGCTTGCATGAAGGGAAGACTGTATTCTATAACCTTTCATTATCTGCTGTTAGCTTCCAATTTCTTTTACCTTACTCAAGTATCCCTAAGGGAACAGAGTGGAAGGAAATACAACAACCTGGGCAAATGTATTTATAACTGTTCTACCATGAAATAACTATAAATCATTTTTGATATTATTAGTACTCATATGGCAAAATATTCACTGAATCTCTTTGAATTGTGTGTACAATAAATCACACTTTACACATGTAAACTTATTAGGCAACATGCATTTGGTTTTGTAAGTAGTTCTAGCAATTTATTTATGAGGTGTAAATTTTTTCACAGAAATGTTACAGATTTGTGACAATATTCTTTTTACTGTTTAGAGCACAATCAGAAACAGCAATCACCAAATCTAGTGTTTCTTGAATTAGATGTTATGCTAAGGCAGGAAATGTCCTTTAAAGATGAAAATATTTTCTATGAAGTCCTCTTTTACCTTTTTACTTCCAGATAAAATACATTTTGTTTTTTCCAGAGCTTCTTTTTGTGGAAAAATATTCTTTTTTAACGATACTTACTCACAGATATATTTGTTTTCTTTCTCCCCCACATCCTCATAGTGTGTTCTACTGTTGGCAGCCATGCTTATGATTACTCAGTTTATGCAAGAGATCAGTGTAGAGCAAAGTGCATCAGTGTCCTTTTGAAAATTATTCTTGCACATACAGTTCTTATGGTTTGTTCATGGAAAGAACAGAGTATGTATTAAAGAGACTTTGTTAAAATTCCTGGAATCACTTAGTTTTAGTAACTAGCTCCATTACTTTCTGGCTTTCATGAAGAAACGACTCTTTCCCCTTTTGCCTGTGGCAGATTCTGATGACCTTATTCTTTCCTCCTTTCCTGTCAGTTTTTGCCCATACTGTTGACTACATATTGTGACAGATTTCATCTGTGGCTGCAAATTAAGGCACAGTGTTCAGGTGTCCTCTGGAAAGAGTTTGAAAAATATATTATTAAGAGGTCTTTAAGCAAAGCCCATTGTGTTTGGAATCATTGAATCATGGACTGGCTTGATTTGGAAGTGATCTTAAAGATCATCCAGTCCCAACTGCCTGTGGTGGGCAGTGCTGCCACCCATGAGATCAGATTGGCCGGGGCCCCATCCAGCCTGGTATTGAATACCTCCAGGGATGGATCATCCACAGTTTCTCTGGGCATCCTTTGCCAGCGCCTCACCACCCTGAGTGAAAAATTTCCTCCTAACATCTAACCTAAATCTCCCCTCTTTTAGTTTAGGGCCATTCCCCCTTGTCCTGTCACTATCAGAATGTGTAAAAACATTCACCCTCCCATTTATAAACTCCTTTCAGGTGTTGGAAGGCTGCAGTCAGTGCTCCAGGTGGGGTCTCATGAGGGCAGAGCAGAGGGGGAAAGTCCTTCCTCCCTTCTTGCTGGGCATCCCTCATTTGATGCAGCCCATGAGAGAATTTACTTTTTTGGCCTCAAGTGTATACTGCAAGCTCATATCTAGCTTTTTTATCCACCAGAACCCTCAAGTCCTTCTTGGCAGGGCTGCTCTCAAGTGAGTTCTTCTCCAGTCCGTACATGCATCTGAGATTGTCTCAACCAAGGTGCTTTTCTTAAAAACTAATTTTAAACTGGTTTAGAATCTAAGAGTAATTATCTAAGAATGAATGAAAATAGCTTGTTAGGACTGTTGACTGGGTTCCATGAGAGGGCAAAATAAACAAAAAAGTATCACAGTTATCTTGGTGTCTAATCACTTACCACCTTCTTGTACTCTGCTGCCCACATACAAATTTAGACAAAAGTTCTCATGGCAAATATCATATTAGATAGCCAAATATGTCATGGGAACAGCTTGATGACTGCATTTCATCTGAGAATGATTTTTTCTTCAAACCCTAGGTTTTGGAGAAGATCCAAATTCCTTAATGATTTTGCAATGTGAAAACTTCATAAAATTATATGAAGTAAAACTAAAATGATGAAAATTTTGTCTCATGTAAGTTTACGGTAGAAATAGGATAGATTTTCTGTTGAATTTTGTGATCACAAAATAAAGGGGACTCTGAATTTCCTAGTTTGTTTCTGGTTCGGTTACCTTGTAACCCACAAACTTCATGTATTGTAGGCTATTCCGAGGGAGAAGTGGCACTCACCAAGTGCTATTGCCAGTGTAACTGTGGCAGGTATCAGGAATTTGTTTGCTTATTGTTGCTGACAGCTCTGTATAAAGTTATACATGCATCTCTTTTCTGATTCCAACACATAATCAGGACCTAAATCTGACTGAAGAACTTTTACAGTTCCTGATTTATTATTCAATAAACTTTTAAAACAGAGATTGATTGCAGGGGGCACACATCTGGCTTTCTGATTATAAACTGTGATCCTTCTGAAAATACATATGCTTTAAGAAATATTTTTTCTCTGTCATTCATACTGCAATTTTGAGGTTACAGTGTTGGGGAAGTCTTATTCTTGGTGTGTCTCTCTTACCTATGTAAAGACCATCTTAGAATTTAATTAGCTCTGTATGCTGTCATTGGGATTGGCCTGAGGCCATCTGCCAATTTGTCTACTGTATTATTTATCATCCCCTTACTGAACGTTGTTCTTTCTCTTATAGACATATCCTTTAAATGGAAGCTCAGACACCTTTTATGTTTGATCTTAGTTTCTTAACTTAGAGCTTAGAGCTTAGAAGGGAATGTAAGGAAGTAAACTTCCTGATAGCAAGCACACTGAAAGCTGAATATGCAATTATCACTTCAAATTTGATATTTAATATGTGCAATGCTTTCCAAATCTTGGATACAAATTTTAAGAGCAAATATAGAGAACTTTCAGGTTATTTCCATGTGGTTCTTCAACAGTGGCTCCTTTAAAATCTGCCACAGTCAGTTCTTGGACTAGCAGTTAAAAGTGCTTGCTGGGCTGAAGTCAGCATGTTCATCCTATATTCACTTAGAACTCACTTGTTCATGAAATGAGTAAGTTTCTGTGACAAGAAGTGGGCTGTTTAGTATGTTAGGCTCCAAAAGACTTCTTGCCATGAGAACTGCTAATATTTTATCTACATTTAATAGTTTTCATTTGCATTGATTTTCACTGTATTGAGTCTGAGCAACTCTTTGAAGACAGAAACAGAAGTGATCTCAATAGCACTGGAAACAGAATTCAATCTCTTTTAAAATGAATGGTCTTCGATACAACAAAACTCCTTGGTGACTTTCTGGTTTTATTACAGTTTTCTTAGATAGGGAAAGATCATCTGGAGTTCATACAAAAAGTAATTTGACTCCTTTTCCTTTCTGTAAGAAAATGATAGCCCTGTTCCTTTCTCTGCATCCCACCTTTCTCCAGTACAATACATTTGAATGAGCAAAGTTTAAATACTGGTTAAAAACAAAGATTCTTGCTTATTCTTGCTTTCCTTCGAAAGGAATTAGTATTGTGGGCTTTTTACCTTCTCTGTGAGGGAGTACGGGCATTAATATTACAAGCCAGGTGTTGTGCTAGAAGGATGTTTCACTTTGAATATACAGAGGAGCACTACAGATGATTGCTTCTGTACTACCTTTGAGGCTTAGTGAAATATTTACTACATATATATCCATTTTAAAAATGAACTCCGGAGCATTTTGAAAATCCCTGACTCTGTTTTCAACGTATCTGAGCATTCACAACATTTAGACAGATGCAAATTTTGGAAACTTTACATAGCGAGCCTATTGTACTTCAGAGTAGCCCTTACCCAATGTATCTCATATAATTAGACCCAGATTTTCAAAGACTGGTATGTTTGCTTAACTTTATCACTATATGCAATAAAGCTGGGAGTTGAAGCCAAGTGCATAGGTACATTTCACAGAATCTGTATTTAGACTGTAACTTTTATTTTTCTCCCTTATTCAATTTTTTATTATTATTTTTTTTAATATTAAATTTCTTGAAGTATTTATTGGCTCAACCATGAGCCTAAAATACGGACAATACACTCAACTACTTTTGCTCTCAGGAAAACTTGAGGATATTATGTGCATGGAACTTAATGTCTGGTTTAATTTTCTTTTGCAGATTAATTAAATATAATGACTGCAAATGATTTTATATTACAATGCAGTTTTCCTTTAAGGACCAGTCTGCAGTAATTGTTTGATTTCAACAGTTACTGTTAGATTTTATTTGCCTTTTACATTCCTATGAACAATAATTTACAATAATGTAAAAAAATACCTAAGCCTATAAGTAGTAATACATCACCGAGTGTTATTATATATTTTAACTACCTTTAGACCATTCTTGTTTTAGTTTTATGGTTATTCAATTAAAATAACTGAAATGTACAGTCCAGCCACAGTGGGATTTCAACTAGACATGG